TATCCATCATCCATCCACACATCCACCCATCCATTTTTCTACCATCCATCTATCCATTCTTTCATCCACCTTCCAGCCACTCATCCATCCATCACCCATCCACACATCCATCCATCATCCATCCACCATTTATCCATTCGCTCATTTACTCATCAATATCCATTCACCCATTCATTCATTCACCCATCCATACAACCACTCACCTAGTTATACATTCAGTAATATATATATATATTGAGACGGGTTTTCACTCTGTTGTCCAGGCTGAAGTGCAATCATGGCTCACTGCAGCCTCAACCTTCCTGGTGTAGGTAATCCTCCCACTCAGCCTCCAGAGCAGCTGGGACTACAGTTGCACACTGTAACACTTGGCTATTTTTTTTGAAATTTTTGTAGAGACAGGGCTTCACCATGTTGCCCAGGCTTGTTTTGAACTCCTGGGCTCAAGTGATCCATCTGCCTCTGCCTCTGCCTCCCAAAGCATTGAGATTACAGGTATGAGCCACAACACTGGCCCAATAACCATATTTTATTGAGCACTCACTAAGGCGCTAAGTCCTGGAGGGATAAGTTGGAACACAAAAGAGATCCTTCAAGGATTGTACAGTCTTGTGTGTGAGTCCCGACAAATAAACTAGCAATCACAACACTGTATAAAGACAGCCATGAAGAGGGAAGTCAATGAACTCTGGGGATGTAGAGGAAGGTAGGAGTTGAAGAAAGGAAGTGAGGGTTCAAGCTGTGCTCTGAAATGGGGGTAGGAGAGAAAGGAAGTGAGACAGGGGAAGAGGAGAGAGTGTTCCAGAGAGGAGGAACAGGCTGTACAAAGGCTTGAGGGTCAGTCACAGCCCAGTATTTTCAAGGAACTGAAAGAAGGTCCATGTGACTGGGACAAAGTGATGTGATGGGTGGTGGAGCTGGAGGAAAAAGTTGAGGCTGGAGAAGTAGGCAGAAATTTGGGCTTCATCCTGAAAGGGTAATGGGGAGGCATTGAAGGCTTTCGAGATTACAGGTGTGAGCCATCTGTCCATCATCCATCCATCCACCTATCCACCCATCCATGAATGGGTGCACTCCAGCCTGGGCGACAGGGTGAGACCCTGTCTCAAAAATAAAATCGAGAGGGGAGAATCTTGCTCAGGCTTGTGTTTTGGAGATAACTGGCATTTTGAGAGGAAGATGGACTGGACCAGGAAGGCCAGGAGGCTGGGCTGAGCTCAGGGCTGTGGTCCAGCAGAGAGATGGAGAAGGAGAAGGAGATGGATTCAGGACACATCCAGCTAGCCACTTTGCTGATGGACTGGATGTGGGCAGTGAGGAAGAGCCCAGGGACAGAGATGACCCTTGGGTTTCTGACCTGAGGAACCAAGAGGACACCCTGTCAGGAACGACAGACACATCAATGGTCATGTCAACTCTTTGTAACAGGGAAGTGGGGTCTATACTGGGGTCAGGGGTGGAAATACCATTTGGGACCTCACATTTCATCTGGGCTGGCCCTGATCCCAGATTCCTAGCCCCCTGGGCAGGGCAGGACAAATCTGGCCTCAGCTGTCAGCGATGGAGATGAGTGAACAAATGAGCCTCGGGTGACACTGGTATGACTGGGATGACCCTTCCGCCTAGCCGCTCCCTCCCGGTCATCCACAGCTGTCAAATGCAATTGAAGATGATGAAGAGCTGCGGCCCCGCCGCCTGGCCCCTGCTCTGTGATGGAGAGCATCCTGGTTCTGCCCATGCCTAAGGGCCAGGCTTCTCCAGGAGCCTGGGCAGAGCCTGAGGTCGGGGCAGGAAACCTCCTTCCTGTCTTTCAGGGAGGAGGACCCTGAGTCAGCCTGGCCCGGTGCCCTCTGGCCAAAGTGGAGTGGGAGTATTGCAGCAAGTGCTGGGGCAAGGGCGGCAGGTGCCTGGGCGGTGTGCCTGGCCCGCTTTATCAGAGGTGTTGAGACAGGGAGTTACCTCGGCTGCTCCTCCCACTCAGATCCAGTCCCCCTTTCACACTCTCCTAACAGGCCTAATGGTGTCTGGCCTGCCTCCCTGCTGTGGCCCTTTCCCTTCCTCTGGCCACAGCACCCTCTCCCCTGCTGCCCCTCCACAAAACTCTGCCTTACTGCCACCTCCTCCAGGGAGTATTCCTGATTGCCCTGATAGACCTCCAGGTCCTAGAGTCCTCACACCATCATAAAGATCTGTCAATACTTCTTGCAGGCCCAGAATTCAGCACATTGTGTCTGGAAGGTCCCTTGGCATCCATCTCACTGCCCGGGAGAACTGACGAGGAATAAGCCCAGTTAATTCCTGGTGAGGAAACCACCTCAAAAATGTCCCTGGTCCCTGCTGCTGCTTCCCAAAGAAGGCTGAGGCACACTGGGCCCTTCACGCCCGTCTCGCCTGCTCTTCCAGTCCTGCGTGGACTCGGTCAGGTGACACTGAAAGTCCACTGCATGCCAGGCACTGTGCTTGGCACTAGGGATGCCCACGGCACGGGGCAAGGCAGACACAGGCTGTCCTCATGTGACTTGTTCTCAGCCTTGCATTAAGGCTGTGCCCCATGCTGGGGTTTCATGCTATTGTCCTAATTTGCCTCTACACATTCCCCTCTCTGCGCCTTTGCCTAAACAGTGCCCCCTGTGACATGCCCTTTCTTCCAATCTTAGTATGAATCTTATTTACAAGACCTAGCCCCACAGCCACCTCCTGCAGGAAGTGAACTGAGTGAATTCTGGCCAGAAGCAACCTCTCCCCACGCTGTGCCCCAAGGCCCTTTAATCTCACCTGCATGTCACTATGAGGAGTCAGGCCCTGTTCCCCCACCCCTACCCACTGTGAACCCCCGAAATAGCAGGCTCTGGCCTCTGCCCACCCTGCAGTGCCAGGCATAGCCCCTAGAGGTTCGGCTGCCCCTGCCAGCCAGGCAGCCTGCACCATCCTTGAGCTGAACCAGAACCTTCCTAGTCCAGAACCTTCTGCTGCTGCTTTCATGATCTGTTCCCCAGAACAAACAGGGGAATTTGGGTCCTTCTGGAGAAAGCTCTGAGTCTGCGAGAAAGCAAGGAGGACTCAGAACTCACCCGGGGAGTTTCCCCAGTGGCAGGGACGGCAGCCGCTTCATCATTAGCAGGCTGCCCACTGAATCACAGCTGTCCTTTGCAGGCAGGTGGAGCCCCCACAAGAGGGTGGGCAGAAGCCACCAGGCTGAGTGCATGAGGGCAGGATGGGCAAGAGGAGTGGTCGCAGAGGCGCTCCCTCCTGCCTCCTCCCGGACCCCAGGCCTGGCCCTGCACCTCTGGGCCCAGGCTCTGTCTCCAGGTCAGGGCCATCTGTGCCTGCACCCTTCCCCTGCCCAGCCAGCCTCCTTTGCAGGGGGACTCTGCAGGGAGCCACCCTGAGGTTGCCCCTCCCTTTTTCTGGGATGTTGGCACCCAGGAGGGGCCCAGGCAGGAAGAGCAGACTCCCCTCCCCCTCCTCTGCAAATGGAAGCCAGCCTTGGGCACAGGACAGGTGGCTGGGGGCAAAGAACCCATCTGGGCTGTGGCTTGAGGAGGGGGCAGGGTCAGGGTCTCTGGCAGCTGATGTGACCCCCAGAGAAGCAGAGAAATGCTGGTTCAAGGCCCACCAAGGCAGACCCCATTTTCCCGAGATCAACCGTCCTGAGGAGGCTGAGGTCCAGAGAGGGTCTGTGAGCTGCCTGAGATCACACAGAGGATCCTGCCCACAGAAAGATTCCTCATGGGCAAGGGAAGACCTGCTCCTAGGCATGGACGCAGCCCCAGCCTCCCAGGTTGCCCTTGTGAGGGGTGGGGAGAGGAGCACCTGGGGCTCCTCCCGAGGTCAAGGGTCCTTGTCTGGTTTCCTTTCATCGGAACCCCCCCTCCCCACCTGAAGACTGATGAGGTTAGCTCTGAGCGATGCTCCGGGAAAGTGGGGTTTCCACAGGTATCCCCAGAACGTAAAAACAAGAAACAAAAATCTCACGACACAGAGCGGCTGTTGCTGTTACCAGGACTGCTCATGAAAACGTAGTAATGATTCAGCGATCAACACAGGGACTGTGATCTCGCAGGACTGTGAGAGGGCGGAAGGCACCTGCGCTATGTTGCCGAGGGGGCACTGCTGTCATTTTGAGCTGGCCCTGGTCATGCAGGGACAGGGCAAAGCCAGGCCTAGGTCCCCCATGTAACAATCAGAGTCCAGGTGCTGCCCTGCCTTGAGCCGCCCTGCCCTGGTGCTGCCCACCTGGAGGGCATGGGACCCTCATTCTACTGAAGGGACGCCCATGCTCTGGCTCCCGGGAGCCCTCACAGGGTGACTGGCAATTTCCTCGGGTGGCCAGGTGCCTGACCCGTGTGCAGTGATGCTGTGGCCTGGGGCTGAGACCCTAGAGTCACAGATAAGCCAGTTCACCAACTTGATCTGCCGCCTTATGCCTGTAGTTCTTTTTTCAGCTCTGCCCCTACTGGAAAGTGGACTTGCGTTCTGTCATTGCCCTGCAATGGGCTGGGGTGCCAGGAAAGTCAGCTCAGGGCCTGGCTCAGGATGGATCCTGACCAGGCATCCAGTACGGACTCCGGGACACAGCTCTGCTAGAAGCGAGAAGCGGCATCTCCTACAGACCCCTTTGTTCTGTTCTGCATCTTTTTTTTTTTTTTTAAGACTCAGTCTCGCTCTTGTCCACCAGGCTGGAGTGCAATGGTGCGATCTCAGCCCACCGCAAACTCCGCCTCCTGGGTTCAAGCAATCCTCCTGCCTCAGCCTCCCAAGTAGCTGGGACTACAGGTGCCCACCACCACGCCCTGCTATTTTTTGTATTTTAGTGGAGACGGGGTTTCACCATGTTGGCCAGGCTGGTCTCGAACTCCTGACTTCAGGAGATCCACCTGCCTAGGCCTCCCAGAGTGCTGGGATTCCAGGCGTGAGCCACCGTACCCAGCTCTGTTCTGCATCTTAGTGTAAGGCAACCCATTTAGGGGAACGTGGTTTCCCGAGCTATTTGGATTGAATGGTGATCGAAGTACCACTGGGCTCTGGCCTCCTTCGGTCAGGGCCTAGCCTGGGGTGGGACAGGCAACCAAAGCTGCTCTGTGCCCTGGCTGGGCCTCAGTCTCTCTCAGAGGCAGATAAAGAATGGACCTCCCTGCAGAGTGATGCCCCTGTGCCCATGGCCCACAGCCAGTGTGGCCCCCAGTGCCCTGAATCTTGCCCACAGTCCAGGAGAAGAGCCCTGCTTGATTTCTGCTGGTTGACTCCCAACACCTCATCTCCCCCGACTCAGGCCGCCATGCATGAAGGATGCTTTCTAGCCACAGAGAGATGAACTCAGTTGTGGATGGAGGCTTTTCAATTCTAATAGAGGAACCAAGAAATGTCCCCTCTGAAAGGAGAAGTGTGTCACTGCATGGGCTCCAGACACATGTACCCCACCTCTGTCTCCAGTTGAGTGCCCATTCTCTGGAAATCCACAAACATTCCAAGAGCTGGACTTCTCCTGAATCATCTCAAATTCTTCAATCTCCACTGGTCTAGTGAAGGATGTGGGGAGGTGACAGAAGGCGGGGCAAGACCCCCAGGGAGGTTAAATTAGTCACTGCCACCCTCAACTCTCAGCAAGGGTGTCTCCCTGAGCAGAGGGACCTACATGCACAGACTCCCTCCTGGACTTCTGGCACCATGGTCCCACTGAAGATGCTGGCCCTGGTCACCCTCCTCCTGGGGGCTTCTCTGCAGCACATCCATGCAGGTGAGAGCAGGGAAAGGTGGCCAGGGGCAGGCACTGGGAGGACAGGAATTGGGGGCATGAAAACCACCAAAGCAACACACACACACACATTTGTGTATTGTTGACACCCCACCTACTCCCACCCCACAAAAAGACCTGAGAAGCCCACAGCACTAGGATTTTGAGGGAAACGAGCAGAGAAAAATGTCGATGGTGTTGATGATGTCCCAGCTCTTGCAGGTGGGCTTGGTAAGGACCAACATGAGCACATCTCGAGCTGCAATGGCTGTGAGGTTGGGATTCAACAGCTGTAGTTGTGCAATGGAAAAAGAAAGATTCTCAAAATTATTTATTAGCATCTATTTTATTAACAGGTTTTATGCACAATGAGAGAATCAGCATAAAGCTTCCAAGAGCATGTAAAAAAGAGTTTCTTTTTTTTGAGATGGAGTCTCTCACTCTGTCACCCAGGCTAGAGTGCAATGGCGTGATCTTGGTTCACTGCAACCTCTGCCTCCCAGGTACAAGCGATTCTCCTACCTCGGCCTTCTGAGCAGCTGGGATTGTAGGTACCTGCCACCATGCGGGGCTAATTTTGTGTTTTTTGTAGAGATGGGGTTTTAACATATTGGTCAGGCTGGTCTCGAACTCCTGACCTCAAGCAACCCACCAGACTGGGCCTCCCAAAGTCCTGGGATTACAGGCATGAGCCACTGCGCCTGGCCTAAAAAACAGATTCTTATATTAGGTTAGGAAAGGAAAGATGAAATAAGGTTGCCAGGCATAGACACACAGGACTACACACAGACACACACACACGTGGGCACTCACAGGACACACAGGATCCCCCACAGACACACTCAGACATACATACCCACAAACACACAGGATCCCCACAGCATACACAGAGGCCTCACACATACTGGTGTACATTCACACACACACATATACATAGGCAGTGACACATGCAGTCACCACACAGATGCACACGTGGACACGCACATGCCAACCTTCCACAGACACACCCAGGGCTCCCACAAAACACAGGCAGACACTCACAGACACCCCACCCTGCTTCCTCTCCCTGCAGCTCGAGGGACCAATGTTGGCCGAGAGTGCTGCCTGGAGTACTTCAGGGGAGCCATTCCCCTTAGAAAGCTGTCTACTTGGTATAGGACCTCCCAGGACTGTAACCGGAAAGCCATTGTGTAAGTGCCCCTGGTCCCACCCCTGCTTCTCTGGGCCAAGCATGGGGACAAGTGGACCCTGAAGCTCCCAGAAAGGCCACCGGGAAACAGGGATGATACAGTGGGGACCTTCCTCCCCAACCCCTACAGGCTCCTTGGGGCAGTTCATGCACCCATGCTGTGGGACCCAAAAGGGCTGCAGGGCATCAAGTCCAACCTGTTCCTTGATTGTGGTGAAATCGAGGCCCTGGGAGGGATGAACTCCCCAGGTCACACAGCTGGTCAGGGGCAATGCGGTCACCTCCCCTGGCCTGGGCCTGAGCCCTCCCCACAGTCCCCACGTCTCAGGCTCTAGGCCGTCTTGGGGCAGTCTGAGGGGTGGTAGTCTGAGCCCTCCCCACAGTCCCCACATCACAGGCTCTAAGCCATCTTGTGGCAGTCTGACAAGGTCCTGCAGCCCTGGCTCCCTGTGAGGGTCCAGATCACTCAGGACAGAGCCTGATGTCCCAGACCTGCCACCAAGGCCCCAGGTGACTACAGCAACTTCCTGCCCCTCTTGGAGTCTTGGAATCCTGCTCAGCACAGGATGGGGCCATCCTGGGGACTCTGGGGCCCTTCTCCCTCTGACATCCCTGGGAACATCCTCTCTCTGTGTAGGCTTGTGACCGTCCAGGGCAGGGCTATCTGTTCGGACCCCGAGGACCAGAGTGTGAAGAAGGCACTTAAATACCTGCGAAGCCTGCAGAGGTCTCGAAGCCTCCTCACCTGGGACTCCTGACTGTCTCCTGGGACCACCCGGTACCTCCAGCATCTGTGTTCACCACCCCAACCCCGAGTGCCTGGGTCCAAGGGAGGCCTTCCAAGGACAAAGAAGAGCCACACGGAGGAAGATCCCAACCCCTTGTCTGAACTGGAGCCTTGGGCACAGAAGGGCCCAGATTAAATTCTTTCTGCTCAGTCTGTGTCAGTGTGTCCGTCCCCACAGCGCAGGACGCGGTTCCACTCCCGCCTGTCACACTGGGAGGGTCCTCAGAGAACATCTGGTCCTTCCCTGCGCAGGTCGGAAAGAGAAACTGAGGCTGAGAGGGGCACGTGGCTTCCACAGACCACGAACCAGTGAGGGGAGGCCCTGGTGAGAGGCCCGGGCAGGGGCAGGGCTGGCAGGTTCCTGGGAGGCGGCAGCTGGATTCTCTGTCTGAGGTCTTCCAGTTTCTCCCCAGCCCAGTTCCTGCTCTTGCCCCACGTGGAGCTGGGGACAAGCTTCCTTGAGGTGCTGGAATCAATTCCACAGACTGGCCAGGACCCTCCCGCAGGCCGCAGCTCCGCCCAGTGCTGGGGAGCCCCCTGGCGGAGGGTGGGGGATCCTGCAGCCCCGTCCCTGCCTCCCCTGCACTCACTGCAGGCCCGCTGGCCCGGCTCCTCCGGGTCCTGGCTCCCTCTCCCCACTCAAACTGCAGACCAGCTCCGGGGCGAGCCGGCTCTGTGGGTCCTGGGCCCTTACGCGGGCCCTGGGTCCTCTGCCTGCAGCTACCCTCCCAGCCCCCTCCAACCGCAGGTAGGAGGGTGCCAAGCGGCCGCCGTTCCTCCTGACTGAAGTGTGATCCCCGCCTCCCTGGCTGACCCCCAACCCAGTTCAGCCGCACCCAGCCTGCAGGAATCCGGCCCAGTACAGCCCCCCACCGACTAGCTCCCCCAGCTCGTGGGGACTGCCCTGCAGCCGACCCCTGCTCCGCCTGGTTCTCCCATTGGTTCGTGTGTGGGCGGGGGAGGGGGGCAGTCGCAGCTCCTCCATTAGGTTGAGAGCTCCGTGAGCCACTCCGGGCACGTCGCACCCCTGTGCTCAAAAATATGGGGATTGCAGGCTCCGGACACCCCACCCCCAGGCCCCTCTGCCCAGGCTCAGCTGAGGGCTGAACACAGTGTGCAGCGGGGGAGGAATCAGGCCTTCGTGTCCCAGTTCTCTCTCACTCTCCCAGCCAGCGATGCGGCCGTGGCTTGTCTCTCTGAACACAGTTTGGCGGCAGGGTCGTGGGTCCTTCTCTTCCGAAGACCCTGTGGCAGGCGTTGCTTAGCGGGGCGGCGGTTAGGTCAATTTCCAGGCCTGGCTGGGAATTCTGCCCCCTTGTGGCCAGTCAGCTCGTTGCAGGGAAGATGACAACGCAAGTTCACTTTCCAATATGGGCAGGAATAGAATAAGAACAGCAAAATGAGGTTGATAAAGCCAGTAAACTGGCCTATCTGTGACTCTAGGGTCTCTTCGGCTGCAAGTGGGCTCTTCTCCTGTCCTGATGCCGAGGAATATCTCTCGAACAACTGCCTCAGACCCAGAGCCCTAGGGGTGGCCCAGTCTGAGTTCATGGAAAATCGTTCTCCGAATCCGCCGGGTGGAGGAAGGATGATCTAAAAACAGAGGGAAGCAAGGAGAAAGAAGGCTTTAAGACAACAAAGGCCAGCGACGGTCGGGGCCTGGACCCCTGCACCGTGCAGGCTAGAGCTGGAAGGACGCTCAGAGTGCAATGGTGCAATCTCTGCTCCCTGCACCCTCCCCCTCCCAGGTTCAAGCAATTCTCCTGCCTCACCCTCCCAAGTAGCTGGGATTACAGGCGCCTGCCACCACACCTGGCTATTTTTTTTTTTTTTTTTTTTTTTAGTAGAGACAGGGTTTGACCATGTTGGTCAGGCTCCTTGACCTCATGTGATCCACCTGCCTCAGCCTCCCAAAGTTCTGGGATTACAGGCACAAGCCACCGTGCCTGGCCTCCAACAAACTTTGTTTAAAAAAGCAAGACCCTTGTTTTCCCCTGCTGAAATCCTACTCAGAAGCCCATATTGTAAGCTTAGATAAATAGAGGGGCCGTGGAGGCCCTTGAGGAGGTGGGGAGTTGCCAGAGGGTCCCTAAAGGTGAGATAGGTGGGGGCATGGCATAAAGGCAGGAAGAGGTGGATCCAGGACTGGCAACAAAATGCAGGATTCGGAATCCAAGTATTCATGAGCAGCATCCGGTGCAAGGTGGGAGATGGTGAGATGCAAGAGGCAGGACAGCTGCCATGTTCCCCTGGGATATTTTAAGGAAGTGTGACTTAGAGACTACGGTGATTGGAGAGCAGGGAGGGAGGGAAAAAGAGGAATGGGCAGGTTGGGGTGAAAAGTCAGGAGGGGCGCCAGTCTTACCTTGCTTCTTCCACCTGGTAGGTGCCTCCCCTCTTCCCTCACCTTCCCCACCCCAGCTTTTTTTATTTTTTTTTTTTTTCAGATGGAGTCTGGCTCTGTCACCCACGCTGGAATGCAATGGCGCGATCTTGGCTCACTGCAACCTCTGTCTCCTGGGTTCAAGCGATTCTTATGCTTCAGCCTCCTGAGTAGCTGGGATCATAGGTGCATGCCACCACACCTGGCTACTTTTTGTATTTTTAGAAGAGACAGGGTTTTACCATGTTGGCCAGGCTGGTCTCCAACTCCTGAGCTCAAGTGATCTGCCCGCCTCGGTCTCCCAAAGTGCTGGGATTGCAGGCGTGAGCCACCATTCTGAAACCCAGTTTGTCAAGTCAGTGTTGCCTCCACACAGCCAGCAGACCAGCCCTGGTCTCTCTGGTTGCATCTGATCCTCAGCTGTGTGTCCTCCACCTGCTCCCAGCACTCACCTCCATCTAATCCTGACCACACGTTGCCCCTTGTAATTGGAGCCCCTTGTAATTGGAGCTGCTTGCGTGATTTACCCAATAAACTCATGGGCAGGTATTTGGGTCAGGACAGTACTCATTTATGAGGAGGGGAAAAAAGCTTTATGCATAGTGTATATTTGATTTATACATTTTCATCAATGCTGCTTGGGTGAATTCCACCAGGGTGAGAGAAATTTCCTGGGGAGCTCTAACACCTGGGCTTGAAACATCACATCTTGGAGCGTGGAAATTAGAATTGGATTGTTCTCCAAGGACCCACTAGAGGGCATTCTGCTCTTAGGAGGAAGTTGCAAGACTGATGGGCCAGAGGCCCCAACCCCACTAGCAGGACTCTGGCCCCATCACTGTACCCAGGGGCTGGGATCAGCCACATCGGTTGAAGCTGCACTAGGCCTTGGGGCAGGGGTGTCTGTAGCTGGCCAGCCCTCCTTTTGGGGGTACAGAAGCAAAGAAACCACCCATTACACTGCCTAGGGTTTGCTGGATGAAGAGGAAGAAGCAAGAAACGCTGCGGGAACTAGCAGGGCCACTAACTCCAGACGCAACCTGGGCCGGGGTGTTTAACTGTGTTTTCTTAGAGACTGTATTTGGGATCCATTTATCACAGGACCAAATCACAGAGCCAAAGGCATTTATACTTCCCCTGCAAGCCAGTTTTTGCAAGTGTTTGAAAATAATGACAGTTACAAACCCTCCAACCAATCCCGCTCATAGTTCCACCAACCACCTCTATGTAACTCTCACACCAAGCCAGTATTTCCCCTGCCCGAAATCACCCAGATCCGGGTAGGGACAGCCAGGGACAGCCAGGGACAGCCCCTATGCCCAAGGCCCTCTGGAATTATTTCAACTAGCCAGACCTGGGCTGCTTCCCTGCCCTGCCTTGCCCTTCAGGTGGAAGCCCCACGAAAGGCTGTGGTCTATACGGTTCTGATCCTTCCTTTCAGCCTCCTGACCAAACTTGGTGCTTCCCCTGTGGCCCCGCATGTGTGGCCCTGTGTGTGTGGCCCTCTGTGTGTGGTCCTATATGTGTGGTCCTGCATGTGTGGCCCTGTGTGTGTGGTCCTGCGTGTGTGGTCCTGTGTCTGTGGCCCCGCGTGTGTGGTCCTGTGTGTGTGGCTTCACATGTGTGGTCCTGTGTGTGTGGCATGCCCTGTTCTCTTGGGAGATGCAAGTAATAAAATCTTCTTTCAGTGGCCTCAGTTGCTCTGTGTTGTCACTCAGTCACCTCCATCAATTCAAATCCTGTGGGTACATTTAAAACTTTTTTTTTTTTTTTTTGAGACAGAGTTTCGCTCTTGTTACCCAGGCTGGAGTGCAATGGCGCGATCTCGGCTCACTGCAACCTCCGCCTCCTGGGTTCAGGCAATTCCCCTGACTCAGCCTCCCAAGTAGCTGGGATTACAGGCACACGCCACCATGCCCAGCTAATTTTTTGTATCTTTAGTAGAGACGGGGTTTCACCATTTTGACCAGGATGGTCTCGATCTCTTGACCTCATGATCCACCCGCCTCGGCCTCCCAAAGTGCTGGGATTACATGCTTGAGCCACGGTGCCCGGCCTAAAATTTTTTAAACTGATACACAATAATTGTACATGTTTATGGGGCAAATGTGATACTTGACACAGGCATACAATGGGTAATGATCAGATCAAGGTAATCAGGATATCCATCACCTCGAACATTTACCATTTCACTCTGTTGGGAACATTTCAAATCTTCTCTTCTAGCTATTTTGAAATATACAATAGGCCAGGCATAGTGGCTCACGCCTGTAATCCCAGCACTCTGGGAGGCCGAGGTGGGAGGCCCCTCGAGCCCAGGAGTTTGAGACCAGCCTGGGCAACATAGTGAGACTCAGTCTTCACGAAATACAAAAAACAGCCAGGTGTTGTAATGTGTGCCTGTGCTCCCAGCTACCCGGGAGGCTGAGGTGGGAAGATCACTTGAGCACAGCAGGTCGCGGCTGCAGTGAGCCATGATGGTGCCACTGCACTCTAGTTGGAGTGACAGAGGGAGACCCTGTCTCAAAAAGAAGAAAAAAAGGCTGCGGTGGCTCACACCTGTCATCCCAGCACTTTGGGAGGCCAAGGCAAGTGGATCAACTGAGGTCAGGAGTTTGAGACCAGCCTGGCCAACATGGTGAAACCCCATCTCTACTAAAAATACAAAAAAATTAGCCAGGTGTGGTGGTGGGTGCCTGTAATCCCAGCTGCTCGGGAGGCTGAGGCAGGAGAATAACTTGAGCATGGGTGAGGTTTCAGTGAGCCG